CGTCTTTGATGCTGCAATTCCTTTTGGTGGGTACAAGATGAGTGGAATAGGCAGAGAGAAGGGAATCTACAGCCTTCATAACTACTTGCAGGTGAAGGCTGTTGTTACTCCTTTGAAGAATCCAGCATGGTTGTAAATCTCTCAGCCGCACCATACTCCCATAAAATCTGTTTCGAAAATAAAATTACACGTGTGTGTGTATTGCAAAGAAAGTTGATGAATTTTTGTTATAGAAAATGATAATTGGCTTTTGGGACTGCTTCAAAGGCCTTCATCTTTTCAAATTTTAGTGAAATTCGAGCATGTTTTTATAATAATCAAAATGATGTGCCACCAAAGAAAGTACTTGAACCTCTCTCATCTAATCACTCCCGATAAGAAGTAGCAAATTATGTACTTAATTCTGCATGTAACCTTATTTGCATGTTAACCCAACCCTTTGGTCATATCTCATATCCAAAAGAATAAAAACGAAGTACGCAATTCCTGACCATAGATGCATGCGAGTTTCACAATAGAGTCTACATGCATCAATAGCTATAGCAATGGATCAGTCATGCGCCCAAGTGAACGACTGATCTAACATTCTCCAAGTTGTTTCTCAGAAACTACTTTCTTTGAGACTTGGAGCAGGCTTTGTGGACTTAAGACTTTTCTTTACAAAACAGTGACGGGGAGGCTTGGCATCACTCAGTGAACATAAACATTTTTCCTTGGAGAAAATCGTATAGACTAACTCACTGAGTTAGTGAAGAATATGCCATAGTCCCAATCATACTGAATAAAGTAAAAAACAATGAAGGCGCATTATTTATCTTCTCCAAAATTATTGCAATGCCAAGGAAACAGGCGCGTTCGATTAGTCATGAAAGGATTGGTCCACCCATCAAATCTGCCGTCTACCTCTAGTCAACATCATTATGTTGTTTTATTTATTTATTTATTTATTTTAGTTGAAGAAAAAAGAAGCAAATTACAAATTAATTAGAAAGATTTGTGGACACGTAGAAAAACATGATTGGTGAAGCACTCCCAAATACTAGATGCCTCAGATGAATATCATCACCTTATTTAGATAAGCATCTGAAAATGACCCGTGTCACGTGTCTTCCTAGTACATGGTTTACATGGTTAAAACAAATAAAAAAATGCATGGTTTTTTTGGTCTCACCCTTCTTGACTGTTTATTCATGACTTTCTCAGATGCCTATCAATTAATAATTTTTATGTTGGAAACTTCCTCTCGAGGAGAAATTTTAATATGTGATCGTCGTACAATCACGTGGTATTTTATTAATATATAAATACACGTATATAGTGTAAACAGATATGTAACATCACATATTGATATGACCGCATCACGTAATAGTGATTGTTTTGCATAAGTCCATATGAAACAATTTTGTTCGTTGTTGTTGTTTGTACGCCAAAAAGAACTTAACTGAATATACTGATCCAGCCAAAACACAGAGGGGATGAAAATTGCTGGGATTCTAAACTAATTCACCTGACCCACAACCATCCCTTTTAGAAACACTGTTTAAGATAAGATTTTTCCATTAATTCATTAAGAATATTGATTAAAATAGTCATTAATTTTCCCATCAATAATCTTATCCAAACATAAAAGCATTTTGATGTAAATAAATACACATGATTTTTCATTTGAATTTGCATATTTTTTGTAGCCTATGTTCAGAGTGTAATGATATTATTTCTTTTTAATATTATTATTAGCAACAAAGCAAAACCCATACAATTAACGAAATAAATTCAATCGTTAATGGAAAAATAATTAAAAATACAAGACTAGCTTTGCTTCTAATCAACATTAAAAACCCATTTGACTAAATAAACCACAGAAAAGTGACACATGTGTTGCCTTTGTGTTCCCCATTGCCACCGTAACACGTCGGTCAGCTGGCTTGTCCACGTGTCTTAGTCGGTCTGTGGGACCCGTAAAAATCACTCCCGCCAACGACAAACTGTCCGTATACACGAAACAGTACGTGAATCAACATTGACCAAAGATCCAAGAAGCCGCGGGTATCCAACCACACTTTCCCACGTGTCCAGGGAGGCCTATCCAGTTGAGTGCAATCCGAGTCAACGTAGAAACGTGGCAGCACAGATGCCTGCCACGTGCAGGTAAGATTTTATGAACAGCGAAAGCTTGTACTTCTCTCCTATATTGCTACAACTCTGCCACTCCTTCCCCAATAGCAATTCTAATATGCGCATGACTCTCATTCTCTTATGAGTCTTCTTCCAAACCAATTCTATGTACAAAAACAGAGCTCCTCTGTTCTCTCCCACACTATTGCTTCAATGGCTCAGAAATTCGATAGTTGCGACCGCCGGATTCTGACGCTCCCGGCGGTACGCCCTTGTGAGTCAATCTCTCCGGCGACCCTTCTCGGCTCTCTGATCCCTCTCTCCCGCAACATATGCAATTTCCAATCCAAACACTTTGCAACGCAACGGAGAAATAGCCGAGAAATAATCCGCCAAGTTAGTATTCTTCTCATGTTCTTTGAGGAAATTCGAGACTGCAATTCTCTTCTTTCACGTTCTGCGATCCTCTGCCTGTCCGAGCTTCACCTGAGCTTTCAAAAAATTCTGTTTTTATTGGAAGATTGCACGAGGGATGGCGCTCGGATTTGGATGCTGACAAAATGCGAGTTTCTTGCAAGTCATTTCCGGATGATAATTCGAGCTTTGGCCACCGCCCTTGATGTTTTGCCATTGAGTTTGATCGATGTGGATTTTGAAATCAAGGAGCTGGTTGAATTAGTATTGAAGCAATCAAGGAAGGCAGAATTTGAGCCTGACCCAGATGACAAATTGGCTTCGAAAAGATTGCTTGCAATATTGCATCAATTCGAAAAGGGAATTGAACCGGATTTGAATGGCCTAAAGAGGGTTCTTGATTACCTTCAAATCAAAAGCTGGAGTGAATGTAGCATGGAGATTAAATTCTTGGAAGACGAAATCGCTTTTTCTGAGAGTTCGAATTGCGACGAAAGAGAGGTTCCTTTTCTCAGTAGCTTGGTGGGGTTCATGAGCTACAGCAGGGGAGTGATTTTCGAAGCACTGGATGATCAAAACTCCGCGAGTCGAGTCGATGCTAGGTGCGGCATGGAGACGCACTTTAGTTGCTTAAGCCCTGAAGATTTTAGGTGCCCAATTTCTCTTGAGCTGATGCTTGATCCGGTGACTGTATCTACAGGTCAGACTTACGATCGGTCTTCGATTCAGAAATGGCTCAAAGCTGGAAACAAGCTCTGTCCCAAAACAGGGGAGAGGCTCACAAGCACAGAGTTGGTACCTAATTCGATTCTGCGAAAGGTAATCAAAAAGTTTTATGCCAACAATGGCATTTCTCTTAGCAAGTCAGGAAGACAAAGCCGCGACATAAGTCGAACCGCTGCGCCTGGCAGCCCGGCCGCTGCTGAAGCTATGAAGTTTCTTTCAAGATTTCTCAGCAGCAGGCTTGCTTTCGGTACAAATCAACAGAAAAACAAGGCTGCTTATGAGATTCGATTGCTCGCAAAATCGAACATTTTCAATAGGTCTTGTTTGATCAAGGCTGGCTCTGTCCCTCCTCTCCTGAAACTATTGTGTTCCACTGATGCATCCACACAAGAGAACGCAATCGCAGCCTTGTTGAAGCTCTCAAAATATGCAAGCGGCAAGAAATTGATAATGGCACGTGGAGGACTGCCATCAGTTCTTGCTGTTCTTGAACATGGATTGAGTTTAGAAGCCAGGCAAAGTGCAGCTGCAACAATATTCTACATCTCCTCAGTGAAGGAGTATCGAAAAGTGATCGGGGAAACACCTGAGGCCATCCCAGCTCTTGTGGAGCTGATCAAGGAAGGGACAACTTGTGGGAAGAAGAATGCTGTGGTTGCGATTTTCGGGCTGCTCCTCTTGCCCGAAAATCAACAAAAGGTGCTTGAAGCAGGTACTGTTCCATTGCTCGTTGAGAGATTGGCTTCATCAGAAAATACTGAACAACTTCTCAATGACACACTGGCAGTTCTTGCAATGCTGGCTGAGAATGTTGAAGGAGCACTTGCAATCCTGCACACCACGGCATTGCATCTGATCACCCGCATTCTTCAAACTTCATCATCCCAAACCGCGAAAGAGTATTGCGCTTCAACATTGCTGTCGTTGTGCATCAATGGTGGGGTGGAGGTTGTTGCTGTTTTGGCAAAGGACTCATCTCTGATGCCTAGACTCTTTTCGCTCCTGACGGATGGAACCGCTCACGCAAGCAAGAAAGCGCGATCGCTCATCAAAATTATGCATAACTTCCATGAAACTAGCTCTTTGAGATGGATGAGTTCTGCAGCTCCAAGAGCACAATGCATTCGGGAACGGTGATTCATCTCAAATTCTTTCTGACAAATCCATGTAAATACATACATTTAGCTGGTGTGAAATACACAAAAAATTTGTGATTTTTTTCATTGCTTTTCTACCCTTTGTTTGCCAAGAAATTAGCTCATATTTTTTGCAGGAGCTATATATGTTACTTGTATAAATACAATTTATATTTGATTTTTTTGGTATGGTGGTTCGGAAATACATCATGTTGTTGTAGTAGTATGCAAATGTTTGTGACAGAAAGCTAGGAGTTATATTTTCGGGGATGTTATCTAATATTTTGTGAAAAAAGATGGAGCAAAAGTGTCTAATTCTTCTTGAACCAAAACTAAAAGTGAGAAGAGCAGTTATTCTAGAATTAAAGTGCTAACAATTTTATCTGCCTTTATTTAGAAATTTTATTTTGCGTATTGGATACATCACGTAATGTGATAGACATAGTATATTGACTCGTTCACTAGTCGTATCAATTACGATATTGTAACGATTGTCATATACTACTAGAAACCGAGAAAAAATGAAACTCCTAATTCTACAAGGATTTGTGTACTAAGCAAATAGCTTACCTTAACTTTCTAATTTAATTTGTGTTGTATTTTAGTAAAACATTGCACCTCTTCTAAACAAACGAACACGCGCGCGTATCCACTACGTCATAGTCCAGCTGGAAACGACGAAAGAAAACGTGTCGTTCTTCGTGGTTTGGAACTTGAAGGGAACACCTGAAAGGCTGAAACCGACTATCCCCCAAACGCCGCCGTTTTACTCTTCTTCGTCCTTAACTCTCTGTTGCTTTGAAGCTTTCCCGTATAAACCACAAGGTTCTAGCCCGAGAGGATCACCATCCCCACCTAAAATTCCTTGATCTCAGTTTTCAGCTTCTCCAATCTCTCTATCTCTGTAAGTTCTACTTCTCATTACATTTTCTCTCACACTCCAATTAGGAAAGTTAGGTTTTTTAATTTGGGGCTGAAGTTCAATTTTCAATTTCTTCTTTTGTGAAAATTTGGTATGCAAATTTCTGTTTTCAGAAGCAAGACAAACACTGTATCGAATATTTCTGTGTGTGTTTATCCTGGTTTCATGGAATTTGAAAGCTGAAACGGCTTTTGTTATGTTAGTGTGCGCTTTGAGGATTGAGATGGCGACGGAGCCCAAGCCAGTGACAGAGGTCGCCAAGATGGATCTGTTCGAAGATGACGACGAGTTCGAAGAGTTTGATATGAATGAAGGTATGCAATTGCACTTCAATACCTGCTTGAATCGCTGCTCCATTCTCAGCTCTGCTATTTCATTATTAGGGTTTCAATTTGATTATTTTGTTTGGAAATTGTTGATATTGATTGTTATGCATGCCCTTGTGAATTGGAATTTAGTGTATGAATAAAATTCCTCTTAGTTTTATCATCTAGGATGCTAAAATTGGTGAAATTTAGTAATTTGATGATGAATTCAAATGGGTAATTTTTGTTGAGGCCTTTTGGTGCTCATGCTTCTCAAATTTTAGTTCACCACCTTGTAGATTTACTTTGTGTAAACGTGGTGCTCCTCTGCATAACACTGGTTAGAGTGCTTGCATTTTTGTTTTTCTTCTGGTCCATAGTAATTGATAGGTGTTAATCCATTGTCTATGGTTGCAATGCTGCCTCATTCTAACTTGTTTGCATTTCCTTCTTTGAATGATGCCAGAATGGGAGGACAAAGAGGAAGGCAAGGAAGTGGCACAGCAGTGGGAAGATGACTGGGACGACGACGACGTCAACGATGACTTCTCTCTGCAGCTGAGGAGGGAGCTGGAGAACAATACTGAGAAGAGCTCAGCTTAATGGGTTCTTTGCATTATGACCTAGTTAGTTGAAGTTGAGATGGGTTTTCTTGTTAGTTTTCGTTTCAAAACACTAGCTTCCTGTTTACAGACATAAAACCTTTGCAATGTACTTTTGTGTTAAAGCCTCAGGATTTGTGAGCTGAATTTGAGTTTTGTGTTAAAGCTTCCATTCAAAAAAAAAAAGACTGCATTGCATTTTATGCTTTCCCAAGAGAGAAATTAGAAGGGATTTACGCGTTGACATTACACCCAAAAATTCAGAAGCCAACAACAAATCCATCAGAGGAAAAAGGGTCACATGGGTTTACAGCTGATCTTAAATTATTCTAAGAGGAAGACGACTTCGAAATCCAACAACGAAAGTACAAAACTTCAAATCATCCAAAAGCAGAGAAAACGAAATTTGTGCCTTCTGCCCCCTATGCAAGAAAAACCTCAAAATTTTACTGTCTAATGTGGATTCAAATCTCTATCTACTTATTGGGAAAACAAATTATCACTTTGGAAAAATAATAATTTGAGATATGATTATATTAAGTGGAACGAGAATTGAATTCTTTTGGAAAAAGGAAGCAAGAAAATTTATACAAGAACATCACTATTCACAATTATTGGAAAACAGAGTGTGTGGAAGCTAATGGCTGCAAGGTAACCTTCATTCTATGTCAATTCAATTCGATAATCACCTGCAACACTACTTTCCTCCCCCAAACTCACTTCAATCTTCGGAGTTTTAGCACAAGTTCGACACACCGGGCAAACCGGCGTCTTCAACAACCAAGAGTCTATGCATTGAGCATGGAAGCTGTGCCTGCAATTAGGCAACTGCCTGCACCTCTCCCCTGCCTTGAAATTTTCCAAGCAAATTGCACAATCCACAGGGCTAGTCCCTTTCTCTCCTGCCATGTAGTCAAAGCAAGGAAGCATATTTAGTTCCTCATTGGTCATCCTTTTGATCCCAATGCTGCTTCTTGGAACAATATCAACACCTTGGTTGCCTCTGTTGAAAGTTATCCTAACAATACAGACATGAATTACTACTAAAACAGCAATAGCCACAAACAGCAGTATCACAGAGATAATAATCCCCATAACCATAACCTATGAAACCCAGATAGAGTTTCCTTTTCTTTTTTCTCAAGGCACTAAAGATTTCCCAGCTCTCACAAAATTGAGAACAAAACCCAGAAGATTTTCTCAACTTTTCTGATCATAAGGATCCCAAGTTACCTCAAATCTTATCATATACTTATTAAACACTAAAGCCAAGCTGGAAGCTTTTTGGCCACCTCATGCATCAAAACCATCGATCTTATCTGGGCCCAGTTGGTGCAGACTGCTTCAGGTGGCAAGAAGAAGCTGAAGCAGAACATGCTTGAGGAAAGAACAAAGGGTTCCTTGGGGTTTGAGTTTGGTTGAATGTGGCAGTTTTGTTACAAGTGGTGGGCTGCTTCTGTCCCCTTCTTTTTATGTCGACAAATTACAGAGAGAGCACCCGACCTTATCAATAATTTGTTCATAAATGAAGGGAAAACGACACATTTGACCATTGAGATTTGAGGCATTAACATTTCATTCAAAGTTTAGACTAATCCATGAGGCTTCTCAGGCCCAAAAAAAAGAAAAGAAGCACAGAAGGAAAATTTGGTAAAGCTCTGTGAGAGAGAGAGATTGAGAGAGAGAGAGAGAGAGAAAGAGAACAACACAAAAGTTAAGGCCCTTGAGGGCCCTGCGGTTTGCCTTTGCCTTGACTAGGAAACTTACAAAGTGATTGATGATCTGATTGAATTCAGACAAAGGCTCCTTCAAAATGGGATATTTTTTGAGTCTCTTGCCTAATTGCTTAGAAATTTCTATTACAAGACAAGAGTTGGCTAATTAGCTTATAATTAGACTAATTTCTATTACTTGAAAGATAAGGTATTTTCAAGTTCATTTAACAATCATATTCTTGAGAATCTCCCGATTCAGCTAATCATATTATTACCAGTATGGTTAATTTAGGTGAATTGAATATCATTACATGAATTAAGATGTCAACCTCCAGAATCTATTCTGTGGAATTTATTCATAATACAGCACATCAAATGATTTTGTCCTCACACCTACATATATAAAAATATTCATCTAAGTGGTTTGAGTCATGCCAGTTTGCTAGCTAGCCCAACTTCTTCGCAAAAACAATAATTTAGATGGTTGTGGTTGGAGATTTATACACCCATCTTACTTTTATTTATTTTTTTAATTTTATGTGGCATTTTTCAAAAGGTCGGATTGAATCATGATTCATGCAGGACGTATCAAAACTATAAAACATCCATGTAGCAGATTTTGATAGCAACATGCAAAATCAAAAGTTTGACAAGGATCAATAAAAAAATATATATTAATGTATATATGCATATATCAAGTTTTGAGCATTAACCTAAAGTTGGCTAAACATGTACCATGGTTGCAAACCAAGCAGATAGGATTGGGTGGATGATCATTTGATCTAACGACATTTAAAATTTCACTTAATTAGAAGAAGTATTTAGTCCAAATTTTATGAATGATAGTTTATATATTGCTGGATTTAAAGAAAACAAAAAGTAGATAGTACAAGATGTACCACGTATCCGTATTACCGTAGTATTTTATAATCACTTTTTTTTTTTGTTTTTAGAAAATGTTGTGTCTCCTTGATTTAAATATCAACCGTACACAATTAAAATCTAAAGACTCCTAGGCAATACATTAGCATTCCAACTAATTAACACTTGTTTTTGTACTATTTTTCTTCTCTTAACACTTTTTAGGTGAGGCCCAAGGGTATCCACCGCCGACAGCAGTGACTAATCTCTTTCGCCGTGGGAGCTCTCCCAATGGAGGTAAATGGCTGGCCATGAAATGCCCTCCATTCCCATTGGCGGGGATCTTCTCTTAACACTTTTAACTTGGAAGAATGAAGTGACAAAACAAAATATTAATTGAGAGTGATTAGAAAATTCAAGACGAGAAAAAAGGGTCAATAGAAACATAGTTATTTGTGGAAGCCTCCAATTTTAGTCGATGACATTTTGTTTTTGTTCTTTTTTATACAAGCGGATGACATTTTGTTTTGAACCGAAGATCCTGCATGTCCATCCATTCATAGCAAGGTTGAAGCTTTAAATAAATGAAGGGAACATTTGATTCATTCAAGTACTAAATTAAAGTAGTCTCTAAATTAAGGTAAAAATGTTGGACGCAGGCACAATCCGAACGGTTGTTGGCATTATCGGTCAGTGATTAATTTATTTGGTGTTTTCTTTTGCCTCTTAATTAGTTTCAATTTTCTCAATTTTGAATTTGGAATTACCAGACGTTCGAAGGTTGTGATTTATCGTTTGCTTTCTGTGAGATGCATGCATGCATACTGGAACTTTTAAGGAAGAAATTTCTAATATTTTTCTTGCATGCAGGTAATGTCATCTCTTTGGGCTTGTTTCTCTCCCCAATGTAATCTCTCTCTCTCTCTCTCTCTCTCTCTCTACGTGCAATGACATTGACAAATTAAACTAATCTAATTTGTGTTAATTACGAATTAAACATTCCAGCCCGACATTTTGGAGGATAATAAAGCTAAAAACAGTAGCAGATTTCAAGCCGGACCCTTATGTAGCAACATTGCTCAATTGTGCTATGTGGGTTTTCTATGGCATGCCCTTTGTCCATCCCGACAGCACTCTCGTCATCACAATCAATGGCGCTGGATTTGTCATTGAATTCATCTATATTACCATCTTTATAATCTACTCTCCGGGCTCAAAACGCGTAAGTATTATTAATTAGTGGTATTTTTCTTTTCAAGGTGTTGGAAACATACTTGGCTGACCCCCATTAAATTCAATTTTCGTTGCCTACAACTCTTCACTTTTTGTTCCTACAAATAATACCCAATTGTTATTAGTCAAAACCCATGACTTGGATCCAACTCATCAAGTTACCTTATCAAGCTCCAAATATGATTTATTATAATTTTTAGATTCCCAAAATACCCCTATTTAAAATTCAATGTGTTATGTGGTGGTGTTTTAATTTTGGATCCCCAATTTATTGTGGTGATTCCCTCCAAAAATTTTATCTGTAAATCAATCATCATTAACTGTTAGTTTATAATGGGGTTGATTTGCATATTTTATTATTTTATTATAGGTTTTGATTGTGAGTTTAAACGTTTGGGTCATGCTGGCAAAAAAAAAAAGAAACCTTTGGATCATATTCATATGTTCTTTTATTCAATGTACCTATTTTTTTAATATAGAAATAATGAAAAATAGGCATGTTATTTTTTAAATCTGTTTTTAATTTATAAAAAAGTGTACAAAATTTTCTATTACAAAGTAACATACCTATTTTCTTACATAATAGGTACAAAAAAATTCATTTATCCGAGCTATGTATTCTTTTACCTATTTTTTGTAAATATTTTTTTAATTTATAAATAGTGTACAAAATTTTGTTTTTACCTATTTTTTAAAATATGTTTTTAATTTAAAATTGGGTTTTACTTAAACATTGTATTATTTGTGAATTATTGTCTAGAGTTTTTTAATTGTAAGGACTTATTTTAGTATGACCCTTTTTTCTTTTTCTTTCAGCAAAAGATCTTCATTGCACTTGTGGCTGAAGTTATCTTCTTCGTTATTGTGGTTTTTGTGGTACTGTTTTGTTTCCATACCACTAAAGGCCGGTCTTTGATAGTTGGGATCATCTGTATTGTCTTCAACATCCTTATGTATGCATCACCATTGACAATCATGGTATGTATAACTTTCTATTATTTAATACCCTCAATTAAATATTAAATCTCTTGATTGAGCTACGAGAAACTAAAGGCTCGTTTGGGAGTGATTCTTCTCAGGAGAAGCACCTCCTACGTGCTTTTCCATGTAATCACTTTAAGTGATTATATGAAGAAATGATTCTCCATATAAGTGCTTTTTGGCTTATCTAGAATCATTCCCAAACGAGCCCTAAATTACATGTATTAAGCGTACTTGTTTTTTGGGTGCAGAAAAGGGTCATCAAGACAAAGAGTGTAAAGTACATGCCATTTTATCTCTCGCTTGCTAGCTTCTTAAATGGAGTTGTCTGGGTCGTCTACTCACTCCTTAAATTTGATATTAATATACTGGTACTTCTCTAAAACAAAGTTTAAATTCGTATTAAGTGTTCATCACCAAGTAGTAAAGAAATAAAATCTTTTTTGTTTTGTTAACCCATTTGCTTGTATAATTTTGGTAGATTCCGAATGGTTTGGGAGCAATTTCCGGCGTAGTACAACTCATCTTGTACGCCACCTTCTACAAAACCACCCGATGGGATGATGACGATGACGACAACGAAATAAAGTCGAGATCGGAGGTACAAATGTCCAATGTCTAGAGAGAAGACTTGACAGAGTTTCTTGCACCAATAGTTCTCTTGAGCTTTCTTTCTTTTTGTAGCCAACTAGTTATTGAGCCATTTTGATTTCTCAGTTTGTGCTGGTCTTTGTCTCAATTGTTAGTTCTAATTAGTCACTAGATAGATTAATTTATTTCTTAGGGGGTGTATTCAATTGGGATTTTAAAAGACTATTTTGGGATAAATAAGTCTTGTGGTATTCAATTAAGACTTTTAAATAATCTAAACAAGTCTTGTGGTATTCCATTAAGGCAACAAGTCTCAACCGATTTCAAGGCAAGTTATTTTTTCTCATTATTTGACGATTTCTTAATGCTGCGTATTATTGTCCAAATGAAATGGTGATTGTATGGAGTTTGGAGGAAGGAATGAAAAATAGAAAACACAAAGACTAGGAAAAGGGTGATGATAAATTAAAATATATATATATGAATAATGAATGGTTTTTTGATATACAGCTCGGCTAGATGGCTTGCAGTTTGCCAACTTGGTTATGTGATGTTATTGTTGACCTTTCTATACATACCAATAAGGCTTCAAACCTATATATCTTCCTTCTAAAATGCAAGTTTTCTGTAAAAAGAACTAATGAAATAAACAACTGCTTGCACATGAGATCTGCACTGAACTAGGTGGAGGAAGTTTATTTTGAGCAATCTGATTCCGATTCTGAGGGGACTTGATGCTAGATAGCAAAAAGTGAAGAATGCCATCCAAGGCATGTGATATACTGTGTTTGAATTAATATAGTCTATGGCATGTGTAAATAATTTGACTAATTTATTACACTATGCAAATTACGGAAAATGATGAATCGTTATTAAATCCATATGATCTTTCCAAATCTAATAAATCCTATTATGTAAATCTTTAAAATCCAAAAGTAAAAAATCTTGATTATAGAAATTCATAAATAAAATCCTATAAATTATTACATTCTGCTTAAATCCAGTGGATATTTTTATCCTTAAATAGTCTTTTAAAATCCCAATTAAATACACCCCCTTAATTTACTATGTCAATTGAGGCAGTGCAATTTGCGTAAGAAATGGTTCTATTTGAACCCTCAACTTTGCTCCGTTCGTCGTCCTTTTCTTAAACAACCTTCTATTCAAATCTAAACGATAAAATTGTAATGAAGAAAAAACCTTGTAACTCTTTTTGGTCAAATATATTGTAACTCGAGAATGGACACAACTATTTTTTGTTTCAGTGCTATTATTTCCCTAATCATTACTAGTAACATTCAGGGATGTTGGAAGTATCGTGCAAACATATAGACTCTCCCTGGTATTGTCTTGAAAATTGTCTCCTTGTTTAGTACTTATCGAATCATCAATGAATTGACGTTCTTGAGATTCCTTCTTCTTCGAACAAATCTTGATCACGTTGAATTTATCCCCATAATGGCCACATGGATGCTTCTACTTTTGCAAGATGATGCTCTATGGCTTCGAAACCACGATCCATGTTGTTTAGAGTTTCCAGTATTAGAGCAAGCCGATCAGGGTCCATCTCTGGCTGGTCATTCTTACCTTCGTTGGAGCCATACACACGTGCACAAAAAAAGACTCGGAATTTTCATAACTCTAAAATTTTCAAGCCCTAGAAAAAAACGATAACCTGGTAATATGGGTGAATTTAGTGTTTAGGTAATTTAGTGAAAGCGAAAATAATGGAAAACATAAAATAGAACAAATTTCAACTCCAGAGATTTTGGCTTCGCACCAGGACTCCTCGATACTCTAGGATTTAAAGACCAAACTAATAAATCAGGAAACTAACTAACGATGTATTAAAGTGGGGGAAGATAGAGAAGATGAAAGTGAAATAGCTGTGAACATGATTAGCCACTAGTCATTCAGTGACTACATTGACTAATTAGACACAGTATCGAACATGTGAGGAATGAAAATACAGGTTAATAATCACATGGAAAAGTAAAGAAGAAAAGTGGAGCCAGCTCCTCATACCATAGTGGGCAAAATCCAAAATCGTGGCCCCGTGTACCCCATATATTTTGACCACCACCAATATTTCAGTAGTCTTCTGCTTTCCAAGTTGAAGAGTGACACAAATATAGACACACGATCAAGGATGTATATGGAATTTGGAAGACATTCCGGAAAGTCTAAAACAGAGACGCACATGGATTCATATTTACTCAAGAACAAAGCATCAGTTCCTATATACTCTTAATCTCAACCCATTGGGGTCCTCCATCATCCCAAAAAGCACACAACACCCAACATTCTTTATTAGACGTCTCAACAACGAGCCATAAATCTCCCCGTGACGATTCGACAAGGTGGTACCCATTAAAATTGAGTAGTGCAGGTGGTCTGGTAGCTCCCGCACGAGTCATAGCTGTAGGGACACTGTTAACATTAATTGAGAAAAGCTCACCTTTCTCAGTAACAACAAGAAACTGGCCTCTATGATAAATTACATCCACTAATGTCGTCCTTGTATCTATGTGAGTCCAAGTGTTATTCCCTGCCTTAAAATGGGCTACTTGGGTTCTTACTGAATAAAGTTCATGGTAGAGTATCAGCGCTTCAAAATAATTAGGAAACAAGCAAGGGTCAGCAGACAATATACAACCTTGGCAATGAACAAATTATGCACATAATTCAGTTCCAGGCGCTCTTGTCTCCATTTGGGGGCTTCTTTGAATGGTGGAAGGCGAACGGAACGCCCAGTAAAAGGGTTAAAAAGGGTTAGGACCAAATAGTTATCATCCAAATAAACCAACCAACCATGGGAAGAACCACAGAAATAGCACCTCCTCTTGTTGTGATGATAATTAGGGCAACCCAACCGGATAAAGTCGGAGGTTGATATCAACTTTTCTAGTATCAAATCTAGAATGTCGCCTGGGAGCCATGCCCAGTCTGAATCCAAGGTTGATGATATTGCCTCTGCCATACAGTTTTGACAATTTATTGGGTTGGATTTATGATGGGAAACAAAACTGAGGAAATATAGTTTTGCTCATAGGTAATTGCAGGCTTTGCAACTATATATATATACAAGTCCCAACAAACCCTAAACCACGAATGAACTAGCATGTTATTCTTATATATGGGCCAATTATAAATTAAGCCCATATGTGATATTTAATATCTTAATATCCAAAAAAGAATGCGCTTGTCTTTTCTTTTCTTTTTTTTGGTTCAATTGACGCGGTTAATGATCCAAACTTGGAATTTCTTCCAACATTATACACCATTTGTTACCTAATAAAACTCAAAACGTTCTTTTTTTCCTTCATGGATCTATCTCTGAAAATCAAATTAATGGATAATTTTATTATGTGTTGTGATTTTGGAATAAGATTTTCTCTCTTCATGTTTTTATACCAACTAGTGGTACTTCTCTCAGAAAATTTTAAAGTGCACACCGTAAATTCAATTTATTATAGATAACTTGATGAAAAGTTGATCACAATTCATCGTACTGCTTTGGGTTTGATCAAACCGTAAATTTGATGACAATTTTTTAGATTTATTCATTTTTCTTAAGCCATGTAATTAACTCTAAATTTTTGAGTTGCATCTTTGACTGAATTGTAATTTGCAACCTTGATGATATAAGAAAAGATTTATTTCACAATTCATCGTACTGCTTTGTTCTTCTTTTTTCCTCTGTAAACTTTGCCAAGAACAATAGCTATAAAGTAGGAATTTCCAAGCCTGAACAAGAAAGGCAATATTGTCATATCAGACGAATGTCTTTTTCATGAAATAAGAGACTTGTTGGTGTCTAAAATAAGATCAAGAATGGTAAATTTGTAGAACAAGCAATCACAACAACAACAACAAGAACGCAAAGTGTTTACGTGGTTCATCCAACTCAATTCGAATTCCGGACCATGGGAGGGGAGCTACAATTATAAGAGGCTTAAAAACATTTTTGTTGAGGAAAAACCCAGAGAGATACAATGGGAGGGAAGCTTTTTTCTTATATAAACAGATAAGAATAAGATGCCTTCGAACTTAGGCTTGTTGGTTGAGCTTTGGACTTAGCCAATTATTGGGTCATATACAAAACTACATCGACATATATATACACAATTGTTATCACCCATCTCCCAGATTTTCCATTAACAGCAACGCCTATATGAAAATACAAATAGAAAAGACAATAGCTCCCAAAAAATAAAAAAGTCAAAAATATGTTTCTGGTATGGGAGTAAAACCAATTAGAATATGACAAGTGACTAATTTTGAGTTTTTTTCCTCCAAATAGATTTTATATGAGTAATTGTATAATATATCAATACTAAAATGGGCTTATTGCTAAAAACCTATAAACGAAGTGCTTTAGGAGCCACGGAACCAAAATATCTAATGTGAAATTGAAAATTGAAAACTAAAAACTAATAATGAAATGATTATCAAACGAGCCCTAATTTGTAGGTATGACTAAAAATAAAACTGTAATTCTAAAAGCTGGGCCATTTAAATAACTCCAAGTTGTCAATATAATCCTCATCAATACGCCAACTAAGTAACGTTGTGGATCGTATCCTCATTGCTCTTCTTTTTCCGTACCACTAAAGACCGGTCTATGATAATTGGCATCTTGTGTATTATCTTCAATGCCTCACCCTTGAGAGTCATGATATGTATAAATAAGTTATTTGCATGAATTATTTATTAGATGTCTTAAACAAGTTTGGGTGGCAGAAAATGGTCATCAAGACAGAGTGTCAAGTAGATGCCATTTGCCCTTTCACTTTGCTAACTTCTGCAATGGAATTGTCTGGCTCATATATGCACTCCTTAAATTTGATCCAAATATTCTGGTAATTCTCTAAACATTTTTGTAATTGTTTCGAGCCCACATTAATTTATGTATTTATTTTCAAAAGAAGAGTGAATGACCTTTTTTTCTTTGAACGATTTTGGTAGGTTTCCCAATGGTTTGTGTTCAATTTCTGGGTTGGTGCAGCTCATCATACATGCCACACCTACTACAAGACAACCAACTGGAATGAAGATGATGAAAATCCAAAATAAAGAGTTTCTTGCTTCAATTCTTGAGTTTCTTTTATGGCCAACCAATTTTTGAGGGTTATTCTGTTTTGCAATCCACCTCAATTGGGGCATTGTATATTTGCCTGAATTTTCTCAATTCCTTGTGCTCATTTGTTTTTCTTTTCTTTTCTTTTTTTTTCTTTTGGGTCAGACCATGTCACATCAGACGAATGGGCACACACCAAATGAATACATATAAACATAAGGTCAACTTAATCATAACAATAATACTAGTATATAATGGATCTTACAAGGAGCTGGTGGTGCCAGCAAGTCAAATAAATACACATTCATTTAAGGGAAGAGAAAAAAAAGGAACAATAATAAATAAAAGCTTTACATCCTCAAACAAAATGAGAAATAGCATTGCTCATCAAATGTATACCCCAACCACCTTCTGTTCATCTTCTTTTGATATCTCAAATTCTTTTTGTCTGTTGCTATCATAAGTACAAATTGGACTCTTTGATCTTAAAAACAATCATCCCAGTTGTTCTTTTAATGAATAAATCTTCAAGGCCCTCTAATCTTGCGAAAGCAAAAACAACCCTGAGACTGATCTTGAGGGATCATACCTCCGCCTTTCGACGTGTCGATAGCCTCCAACATTGAGACTACCTCATCCATCTCTGGCCGCTTGTCTGGGTTGGCATCCCAGCATCGCTTCATTACATTTGCTAGGGAACTTGGACAACATCTTGGTATCTCTGGTCTCAAATTCTGTGATTGCAAAGCACAGGAAAAGAATTAGTTTCATGGAACTTTTATAACAACTTTAGGAAGCAACACAAAAGGATAACATGGGCCAACGGTTGAGATAGGAGAATAGTTTACCTGGCGAACCACAGCTGAAGTCACTTCCGAGAAGCTAAGGTCAGGATATGGCATGTCACAGCAATATATCTCCCATAGACAGATGCCAAAGCTGTACACATCACATTTCCTGTTATATGGGTTGCCATTGAGAACCTGTAACCCACCCAATTTGGCAAGTCATTATACATCGAATAAACAATTCTTTATATCAGCAAAACTGTCCTCTTTTCATCAAGGTAATAAGGTTTGGAAGTGCCAATAATGTCTTTTTCATGCAATTTGAGAAGTCATATTCAAAACTACCTACACATGTGATTATTACCATCCCCCAAATTTCCATTAACAACATTGTCTATAAAGATACATAAAGAAAACTCCAGAAGATACAGGAAAAGTTTCTGGTACGCTAGTGAAGTCCTAGCCAGAATATCTTAAGCAAATAGATTAGACCAAATACCTCAGGAGCCATGTAACCAAGTGTGCCAGTCTCCCCAGTCATGTCATTAGGATTTGAAGCTTCAACACGAGCAACCCCAAAATCTGCAATCTTGACTACACGTGTCTTATCCAGCAGCATGTTCTCTGTCTTTACATCTCTGTGAACAATCTTCTGTGAGTGTAGGTAGCTCAACCTGCAAAATATAGTACAAGTACGGTCTAAATACGTGGCTGGACAAAAACACAAGTTGGAGGTCGTTCTTTATCTGCCAAACTACAATGCTCTGAAGAAAGAAAAAGGAGATTACAAATATCAAAAGAAATACTGGAAAGGGATACCCTCTAGCAAGATCTAGTGCCAGCTGGACAACGACCTTAAAAGCCAACTTCTTTCTCCTATTCTTAATGAGGTACGATTTCAGAGCACCCCCAGGAAGATATTCCACGACGACACAACAGATATTACTCGGCATGCCAATTTGACCATTTTCAGTCTGTATTTGTAGTTCTGATGAACCCATTGTCGCCCCTATAAACTGGACATTAATAGACCACAAATTTTTAGTGAGAAACAATCTAGAAGCAAAACTACCATAAAGTGATTGCAAGGTGTAAGAATTTAATGAATTGAAGCAGCATTTAAGCACACAGAATTGTTGTATGTATGGCATCCCGACAAAAGAAAAGGGAATATATATTTACTACTGTACAAATAATTTTAAAACTTGCAGTTTAACTTCTTTGCAATATACCTGAGACTACTCGATAAATTCTGAAATTTCAGGATACAATAACTCTTGCCTTTACCTCACTAAGGTGGTGAGGGATGCAACTTAGCATATCAAAGAAGAGGAAGACAACTTTCTCGGCTATAAGTACAACCTTAAGCTGTGATACATCATGGAGAATATTGATGTGTTGACTGGAGAGCAATCGTATTACTAGAGAAACTTAGAACTCTGTTGACACACTATAGATGACGCCAGAAAAACCAACCCCTAGTGCCGTGAGGTAGTGAATGTCCTTAACATTCCATATTCTAGAGGCTTTCTTAAAACAATGAAATTTGGGCCCCAATATTCTTAACAGCAAAAGTTAGAAAACCCAACCAAAACCAAATGAGACTTGCAAAAATCTTAACAAAGAGAATAAATTGCAAAGACAGAAAGTTACCTTAGTAACATTAGGATGATCTAGTTTATGCCAGACAGCAACTTCTTGAGTAAAAGCTGCCCTTAGAGAAGAAATCTCAGCTTCTGTCCTGTGACCCTCTTCACCCCAGTCAAGTAATTTAACTGATGTTAAGAAAGGAGCCGTTAGTAGAATTGTAAAATTCGCAACCAGATTTTGTATCATCATAAACCAATAAATAAAAAAGGAAGACCAAATACAAAGAACCTAAAAGGTCATAATTTGATTGGATTAGATAATGATGAGGATAATGACTACAATAACATATTGGCAACTAAGGATCTTAGTTTTGCTTAATATGGATATGTATTTATGAGCAGTGTTCCTATTCAGCTGTTGAATAGATTTCAACTAACAGGTGGAGGGATCACATGAAAGTTCAGAAATACAACAACATTATCCAAGTTGTTGCTCTCAACAGGAAATTCAACACAAACCCGTGTAAGAGTCACGGATTCCATAAGAGCACATTACAGTGGACAATCGGCAACTCTTCATTACAGTCCATTGGATATGCGTTTGGAATTTTGCTACAAATATATATTACACCTAAATGTATATATAAATAAAGCAGCAAACTTTTATTGACTTGCAAGATCAACCACAGGGTTCACCTAATCCAATATTGAACTGACCAAAATAAAGTAAAGCACTGTAAAACAACACCAAAATCAACCTTGCTTTTGCACATCAACTACATTTCACCACTGCAAACCAAATCTCCAATTATCTCCAAACTATAAATTAAATTAAAGCAAAAAAACCAAATGGGTATTGATAATGAATAAAAACAACCATAACATACAGCAGAAAACAATTAATAACAAAAGATTAAAATTTTCTAAAAATGGGTATCGAAATCAAAAGAGAAAGATGGGATTTTTGAGAAGAAAATCAGGAAAGTGAGAAACTTGAAAGGACCCCAAAAGAAAGAAGAAGAAGAGGGTAAAATGACAGGAGTGTGAAGGGGGATACCGGCGACATCCTGACCGTCGTACATGCCACGGTGGACGGTGCCGAAGGTGCCACGTGCAATGACGGATTTGATGATGAGCTTGGCGGGGTCGATCTCCCAGTCCTGCCTGTGGCGCTTGGGAATGGAGAGGGTCATGGCAGAAGTGGAGGTGGTGGAATTGGAGGTGGAGAGGTTGATGCTGTTGCTGTTGGTTTCTGGGTCTCTCATGATCTTGCTCTTCTCCAAAGTCAAGACCCTGTTGAGGTGCCTCTCCAGCTGTTCATCCAAGCTCTTCAGATCAATCTGATCTGCCCTCACAAACCCATCACTGCTCTCCTTCATCTTTCCAAATTTCGACCCTCAAAAACTCAAAATTGAATCAGACAGGGCCAGCCAGAGTAGAGTCGTTTTTATGGCTTTGGTGTTTCGTTTATTTGGACTGGTGGTTTGCCTGTGACGTTTTGTTTGTGTAATTGGGGCCTGGGGGAGTTGTCTTCTTCTCTTTCTTCTCTTTTGTGTATGTTGTATGACTGAGAGAGTTTTGACTGAGACTCAATGATGGATGAGAGGCTAAGGAGAGAGAGGAAAAAGGTAAAAGGAGGAAGCTATGAATGAAATGAAGGCATATGAAGAGGGGCAGGGGCAGGGCAGGCATGTGACATGTGAGCACATGGTGTTGCCTACAATCAACTAGGGGTGGGCATCTCATCCGAATTATCCGCGTACCGACCGTACCGTACCGACGGTTTGGTTTGGTTTGGTTAAATAATTATTTTTTAATTTTAATTATTCCGATCCGATCCGTACCGAAATGTTTGGTTTGGTTAACGGAAACAAAATTCCTAACCCGACGGAAACCCGTACCGATCCGATATTTATACTTATTTTATTATTTAAATACAAAACAAGAAACCAAAGGTAAATACAATCAGCATTTTGTATCACTCTTTTATCACTACTGTATCACTTCTTTATCATCATTGTATCACTACTTTATCACCATTGTATCACTGCTTTATCACCATTGTATCACTTATCCAAGTACTGTAGCACTTTTTGGTCAGAGAGGAATTTATGAACTTCCTATGTTTTCCAGTTTCGACCTTTGTCCCGTTTTTCACCTATAACTTTCTAACTGTTGATCCAAATTTTATGTTCTTTATATGGTTGGATTCAGCATGAAAAAAATAAAGAACCCAACGCAAAACAAATGTCAAAACCATTTACATAAATGTAGAGAATTCAATAAAAAGAACACTCAAAAGTTCAAACAACAAACACAAGTGGCTCCCAATTCATCTTGAGGACATATTGAATGATATAGTGACTAAGTTGTTTGATTTCATACTTGGATGAATTAGGTTATTAGATTTTTATATTTTAAAAGGATAATTTGGTGTATTTGTTCAAGAACTTATGTTATGTGAAAGTATTATAAATTGTATTTTTATTAGTATGTTTTTATTACGGTACTACCGGCGTACCGACCCGTTCCGAACCGAATGTTAGGTTAACCGATCCGAAGTTTACCGAAGTCTTTGGTTTGGTTAACGGAAGAGAAAATGGTCTACCGAAGTCTTTGGTTTGGTTAACGGAAGAGCCCTCTACCGTTCCAAACCGATCCGCGCCCAGGCCTACAATCAACGTGTGCTTCTGAGTCTTCTGACCCACTTTGGTCTCCTTCCCCTTCCCCTTCCCCTCCCGCTCTCTTTTTATTTTTATTTACCCCCTTCTCTTTATTTATTTTCATTTTTACTTCTTATATTCTTTTGTTTTTTTTTAGAATCCATTTTTACTTCTTATATAAAAAGTCATATATGGAAAAATATTTAGTACTATATAATACTTCTTCACTTTTTACCTTTCTAGACTATTTTATTTTATTTTAATACTGATTTTTTTTATGTAACAACTTAAAAATAATATTATCTTATATCTACTAAAAATGGGCACATGCTTTTTTTCTTTTTTGAAAAAAAAAATAGTTAATTGAAAAAGAAAAAAAAAGTTAGGTGCAAAGAATGGAAATTTTTATACATATTTTGGACCATGGAGCAAAATTATTGAATACATTGTTCAACTTTTAATTTTATGGTTCATTAGTCTAAACTATAAGTGGAAAGGGGTTTCTCACACACACGCACATTACCACGGTGTCGTGAGTGTTCGAACCTGAGACCACTATATGCAAATCAGTGCTATTTTCCATTAAACTAAATCATGTTACAAAAAAGAATTTATGTTATAATACACCGCGATATTTTCCCTTTTTTCTGCTAGCTAAATTATAATTATTTTTTCCTTTTAGAAAAATACTAGAAATAACTAATTAGTAATTACAATACGAAACTAGTGGAGCAAGTAATTCCCAAGACGTGTGAAACTGTCGTGTGATTAATTATTAAAAAAAAGGGGACAATTTTGACGTTTGGGCTTTGATTACTCAACGCAGCACATCACCCCGGAATAATTGAAAAAATGAAAATGACTTTCTTTCTATAATCTAATCTTTCAATTGGAGACTCAAACCAAACCAATCTTTTTTCAGTCTTTCAATCTTGAGATTGAATTTTTTTTTTTTTTTCTCCAATTATGCGCCGTTTACTTGTTGTTTTGGCGCTTTCACTTTGGAAGGTCACAACTCAGAAAATCAGAATCCCAAAAAACGTATAGAAGTTGAAATCTGCTTTTTAGCTCAAGTCATATTCATGAACTTCGTTGAAACCGGACCACCACTACCGATTGGTCCACCTAGCAACTACTCCAAACAAGAACCAAATTCATACTTGCCAACGTTGTATGATTTAAGTGGGCTGGGCCTCATCATGTATATGATTTTAGGTTCAGCTCAGCTCGTAGGGTCGACACGCTTGGGCCGGACATCGGCGTCCCCTAATCGATTGCCTCATATCACAGCCCAACTCATTAGCTTGTTCGACCCTATACAAATACATATTTAGTGTCTATAATCTAGAAAAAATCATATACATAATTATAATCTTAGAATCACCTACATTAACATGATAATACCAAGTTTGCATACTTAGGTGTGATTCAACAGATTTCTGCTCTAAAAAGGCCAAGAGATATACATATAGCCCAAAAGAATCTTGCATGCAAGCTCTCGGACATAATATTGAATGATATGATCATCTCCAGTCCAGGGGGACCATATAATCTGTACAAAATATTTTGTTCTTGGTTTTGTGCTTTCACATGCATACCCATTCTCCACCGACCACCGATTTGCTGCCAAAGACTGAACCATCCTAGCTACTTCAAATTGACACTCTCTAACTCTAAGGATAGGAAAGGCCTCTCCACACCCACTTCATTTAACCTAGAGCAGCATCACACTCACTAAAGTGCTTGATAGGAATTATGATTGAGACTTCGTCATAGTCATTCACGTTTGCCTCTACATAACCACACTCGGATTGATTCCACTTTACACTAAAAAGAAGTATGTGAGAGTCGCCATGAATATTGAATTAGCTCACAAGTGATAGTCTGAACTAAAATAAAATATAAAAAAACTTTATTTGCCTAGGTAGCAACACATGCAACCGAATTATAAGTGCCTGAGTTAAAGTTATAGGTATAATATATCCTGATATGTAGGGCTGCAATTCGGCCGGATCGGATCGGAAACAGCCATTCCAATTTCCGTCAAAAATCTTTCGGAATTCCTTAAACACTTCTGATTCCGATTCCGAAAAATTCGGGAATTTTTCGGAACTTTCCGATTCCGAAGTTTCAAATTCTTCAAAACAAATTCGTATAATATTGTTCCGATTCCGAAAAATTCCGAATTTTTTTGGAACTTTCCGATTCCGAAGTTTCAAATTCTTTAGAACAAATTCATATCAATATTATATGTAACTAACAAAAAAAATAATATTAAGATCCCAATTAGGCTTTCTATCAAGAAGCCCAACTAGGCATTAATTAAGAAACCCAACTAGAGACTTCATAAATACTACTAAATAATGACCTGTCGAGCCCACTTAAGATTGTAGGCTGAACTTGAAGTCTATTCAAGTACTGAATTGGGGTAAAGATATTTATAAAGAAGAAAACATCTGAAGTCTATGTTTTCAATCGATGTGGGATTCCAACAACTCTCAGAAATGGGACTCCAACAACTCCAATAACTTTCATAGAAAAAGAACACCTATGCATCCAAAACCTATGGATGGTATATCAAAACCAACTATCCTTATTTTATGCGTTTTTGGTTTCAGTCTATGATCAAAGCCCTTCTCCGTCAAATGATCAAACAATCCAATCAAATTATATCCAAAACAGTCAAATCTTCTCCTTCAAACATCATCATGCTCTGATCATGTGAATGAAAATTTATTGATTCAAATGCTAAAGATGGATTCACATTCATCAATCAATTGATGCTCAAGTTATAGTCAAGTGACCATCACGTTGGTTTTAGATTCTTGTGGGCATGAACATGTGTAAAGAGTGTTATTGCTCTAGGCAATTGGAATACTACAATTATTAGGATTCACTTAACATACTTATCTTATGTGTTGTATTTCATGTATATATAAAATAATTTTATAATTAAAATTTTAAATGAAGATAGTTTAAAATTTTAAAAATACATACATACATAGAATACAAAATATAATAGTATGATATGATACTCCCTACATTTACATATTTGTAGTACGTTTGGATATAACAAGCACACATTATGCATATTTGCCAAATATATATTACTATGTTTAGTATACTACTATATATTACCCGTAGTCTTAAAGTTATATACTACTATGTTTAGTATATTTTTTTGCCAAGCCTATGTTTAGTATGTATGAATATTTGTATGTGGGTACTAAAATATAACAAATAAGAAATGAAACATATATAAGACCTATAAACTAAAAATAATACAATTTTAATTAGAAACTCGGAATTTTTTGGAATCAAGTTGGAAAAATCGGATCGGAATGGGTTCGGAGAACTTCGGAATTTTTCGGATCGGAATTGCGGAATTTTCGGCATTTATCGGAAATATCGGATTCGGCATTTTCGGATATCGGATTTATCGGAGTCGGATTTTTTTGGAAATATTTGGACCGGAATTGGTCGGAATCGGATTTTCCAATCCAACTTACACCCCTACTGATATGTAAACCATATTATGTTGGGAGGAAGGCATTGAATTGATTCCTTATATGTGAGATGTGTTCGTGCATATGGCAACGGATAAGAGGCAACAATGTCGTTTCCAAGTAGCAAAGTCATTATTTTGGTGCCTTTCTAGTCAAGGCTCATCTAGAGCAAACACATCTAATAAGTGAACTGCCCTTTCGTGGAAGTAACCTGTAACCCCAACTAATAAATTTGAATTTCGCCAAATTGGTATATCCCACTGAAAAATGACATTGATTTGCAGACCCGTGATCTTATGTTCAAACCTCTATGACACTTTAACATTATTATTTGGCCAATTTAATCCTCACGGAGGCGGTCATGGCAGCAGCAACCCTTCGGCATTTGGTGGGTTTATTTTGGTAGTGGGTTTTTCGCCTGTTTTGAGTTTTATGATTGTAGTGGACTTCATGCCTTTTTCTGTTGCATTTATTTGAA